GGAGAAAAAATCCAAAATAACCCAGCATTTTTAAATGAAATATTAGATGTATTACTGTTGGACTCCTAGCTGGTATATGTTGTTGGGCTTCATGGAGCTAATGATCACTTATACCAGCTGAGGATTTGGACCAACAGCCCTCTTAAATTAAAGATGGGTGAACTTCTCCACTATTATAGCAAGAGCACTTGATGGAATTTAATACCATCTTTCAACTTCTGAGTTGCCATTAATTTAACATAGCATTGCACATAGCAATTAAAGTCAGACCTATCTTTTGTCTGAGATAAGAAAGGCCATTTAAGATGATATTTTTTCTCCAATTCAATTGTCTGAGCAAATTGCTCTGGGCAATTATAACTGCAATGATGTAAGGAACAATATTTTAAAAGATGTTTAGAAGTCATCTTAATGGTACATTGTGGAACAAATCCAAATTGAGCCATTTAAATAATTTCAATTATCTTTTTTCCTAGACTTTCCTGTGCTATATTGCTTGAGTGGGAGGGCTTTGTAATGAAAGTTTTAATTGGGTGACATGGGAAGGGTCTATAACTTTGCACATTAGCACAGTTTCATTTTGGCTGTGTTTTGAATTACATTCTGTATGCACATCTAGAGAACACAGTTCAAATAAACCTGAATGATTAAATTAAATATGCATTTCTTAAGTCTCAGAGAGAGTGTTTCAAGCAAGAATTTTTAGATCAGATTTTAATAGATGAACTAGTCTTTATAGACCACAAGAGTAATGGGTCTATCAATTCACAAAATATGAAAAATTAAGGTAGATGTAATTAAGTAAACAGAAATTTTTATTCCATCCAGTGCATCATAATGAAATGATGTTGTCCCATATGCTTAATCTGTATATTTTATGCTACCAATTTACTGAGCAATTTGTCTCAGTCTATTCAATTCTTAGCAATGGTTCTTTGTAGACCTGGAAATTTCCATGTCACATATATTTTAAACGTGGAAAGGACTTTTAAATCAGGCTGTCCAAGTATATGAATTTTGCTCAAATTAAAGGATTTGTGGGTATGGTAGGGTATGCATGTGAACCCCCTATGCACACCCCCCCTGAGCTAGTCGGTGCTCGTCCTCACCCCCGGCCCACAACAGCTCAGAGCCTGTGCACCCTGCGTCACCTCTCTGCCATCGTCAACAGCACACAGTCCCAACCCTGCCCTGCGCCCACTCCGGACTCACCCCTACCAGAGCGGATCAGTGGGAACCCAGGTACAGCTCCACCCTGGCCTGCCCTGCACCTGCTCCTCACCACCGTGGTGCATCATGGTGCATTCTGCCATCCTTGGGCATGCAGCAAGGCTGGGGCAAAGGGTGGGGTGCTTTCCCCAGCCTATGCTGAGCAACAGCTTCTGTCCCGCACTGCTGTTGCTGAGCTTAGAGCAGGGATGGGGCACGTGGGGTTTAGGCTGTGCAGTGCAGGTCCCTGCCAGTCCCACAGAGCTGGGGCCAGTACTGGTGGCAGCTGGAAGGAGCAGCCACCACCTGGGCTGCCTAGAAAGGCAGTCCAGCCACAGAGCTGCCTGAGCCTCACTGCGTGCCCAGGTGGTGGCAGGATGTGCCACGACTGGACTGTGCCTGGGCCAGGCGGGACCAAGGGTCCTGCTGCGGACCACATTTTGACCATCCCTGATTTTGGGGGATAATTACTTGGATCAGCTCATCTCATATTTTGTTGTGTGTATATTATATTGTTTGCTTTACTTTTAATGCTCTTTATAATTATTCATTGAGAATGTTCTTCCCTACTCTCCTCCTTCCCTATCCTGCTCCCCAGTTTGCTGTCTGACAAGTCTGCCCCAGTCTCCCTAGCCTAGTTATACCTCTGTTAGACCCACATTTCTCAGTGAATGAGTCTGTAGGTTTGCTGCTTACAATATTGATACTTTCACTGCATGTTGTTTTCAGGAAAAGTGTTGCTTTCTCTGCATGTCTGTTCCATATTCTGAATGAAAACTTGCTGAAGCCAATAGAGAAGTTGCAACGGGCTTCAAATCAAACTTGCATTCTATAGATCAGAATAATAAAATAGTTTTTTATAAAATATCAAATTGTTCTCATCCCAAAAGAACATAGATGAAACTTTAGCTCCATTATAGTTGATGCCAATCTCATTAATTACAATAAGGCAAGAAATTTGCTCATTAAACCTATTTTAATAAAAAAAAATACATTGTGGAAGTAGAGAACCTTCTAACTACATGACATGTTAGAGTTTGTATAGTGGTAATAAGGTGATATTGACACATCATATGTTAAGGGTTTAAAAAAGGAATTTACCATTCTTTATTCAGTTAATATATATTATACTAATATAAGCACAATGTATCTGGTTTTGCTTTATTTATATTTTTCTTTTTTATTATTATTAGCCTCTCCATGGGTAGTTAAAAGTCGATCTCAGAACAACAAGATAGACCTCTATGATGTTCGCAGAAGACCATGGTAAGTTTCCTGTAGAGAAGAGAAGCATATGAAATTGTTAGCTTTCTGTATGTTCTATGAAAACACAAGGGGAAAATGAAAATATAAATTAAACTGCGCACAAAATCCTATTCTGAAAAGTAACTGTTGAGAATAGAAATCTTCATTTTAATATATTTTCCTTGTCTTTATAAACTCGGTTTCACTTTCTGGGTAGGTAGCATTTGTACAGTACCATACTGCTTTACAAGAAGGCCTTGTCTTTATGAGAAATGGAATGGAATGAAAGCAAGACAGTTGGACACTTTCATTGAAGGCAACAAACCAAGTCTGAACTAGGATGATCAGACTAAATTATTTTTTGTCTTAAATTGCTTTCAGCTGAACTACTTTTTTCTCTTAAATTATTTATATAGTCCTGAGTAGTCAATACAAGAATCAGCAAAATTTCCAGTGCAATAGAAATTCTCTAAAAATGCTCTTATTTAACACTGATACTCCATATTTTTCCCATTAGGTCATAGTGCATAATGCTTATGCATGTGTACTAGCTGAATATATTATTCTCCTGAGGGACAAAACAGCTTTGTCAGACTGATGGAATAATTCACCTGTCATCAGAATATCTTTAGCTCTCAAATTCTATTCACCTTTTTTAGTAACTGACATATGAAAATGGTGATTTTTTTTTACATCCTACCTCCAGGCCTGCCTTTTGCTATTGAATCTTGCTTTATCCAGGTGAAGAAATAATAAGAGGAAAAAATGTCATGGTATAAGAGTTTCCTGTCCAGATGCAATAGGGAATAAAAGGATTTCTTTGGTTCAGCTAGACATAGTTTTAGAAGTTAGTAGTTCTTTAGATCAGGCGTTGGGGTGGCATTTTCAAATCCTTACCTTTTATTCTTCTGTAATTTATTTATTTTAGGTACATCCAAGGAGCTGCATCTCCCAAAGACATGCTTATTTTAGTCGATGCGTAAGTATTAAAAGACTGGATATATGGAGGGATAAGAAGCATTTGTCACCTTTTGAACAAAGGCAGTGTTGAAGGAGAGCTGAATTTAGAAACGAAGAAAAAGCCCATCTTGAAAGACACATGAATTGGTGGCAAAAAAATGTTTTCAATTTTATGTGTTTTTTAATCAATTTGATATTATTATAATTTCAAAGTGTCAATCGCTTAAGCAAACAGTTTAATATTTCATAGGTGAATATCTGTGTTGTAAAACAGCAAAGAAATG